ACTCACGACCTCTCACTTACGAAACCATTATGCTATGGTTGAAATAGGCAAAAGATGCATTGTATTGGTGGCAAAATGTGACAATACAATACTTGAGAAAAATACTGTCAGCATTCATCTCATCAGTCAAGAAGAAGCTTGATTCCTTTCAAACCGAAACATCTTTCAAAAACTAGTGCCTTCTCATTCCCCTATCCAAGGACGATAGCAAAAGTGTGGGGAACTCTGGTGGTACCTCTTTTCGACTAGTAACCCAGTTCCCATTATCCTCCAACCTGTGAATGGTCCAAGCTTGCATGTCCGGTAGATAATTCACGTACCAACAACTGATGCCGGCAAAGCCACTCTGAACCTTCACAATCTCCGTTCCATCCTCCTGTACCTCCGTGAGCAGCGTCAGCTCTTTTATCACGGTTTTCGCACCCGTCGGATCACCTTCACCGACCCAGAAAAACAAGTAGCTCATTTCACAACGGTGAAGCCGCCCGTAATAGGCACACCGCTTCAAGTGGTCCTGCACAGCCTCCCTTGTCTCGCTGGAACTGGCCCCAACCTGGACTTCCATTCCCTGCTTGGGAGCATCCGAGCTCTCCATGAAGCCGTCCATCCTCTTCATCCTCCTTCCATTCTCGTCGCTCTCCTTGACCTCTACAAACACATGGTACTTGTGAGGAGTGTACAAGCTCTGCTCCATTATAAACATCAATCCCCGGAAGAACTGCGACTGCATGATGTACTCGGACGGCTGGCCAGACGCATTCAACACCTTGGGCCGCATGAACACCTTCGGATTCATGAAGGCTATCGCAGTCTCATAAACCTCCACAAGAGACTCTGTCGGGGCAGGCAAGGCTTGCAACGGTGCGAACTTGCAGCTTTCTAGTAGCGTGGACAAGAGCAACGGCGAGCTCAACTGAACCTTCCGAGTACCAGCCACCTCCAACACACCGTCGTCAATGGCTTCCAGAACCGTGTCCAAGTGATCGACGCCCGCAGATCCGTCAACGCTGTCGATGCACTGGAGTATCACGTCTTTGACGCGGTCAGGATAAGCAGCTACCACTCGAACCATTTTCCCAAACACGGTATCGTTGAACGCATGGGATCTCACACGTCCCTGTTCAACCAGCTGACGCCAATGCTCAAAAGAACGCACAGCCGGACCCTGCTCACGACCAGTCCCTTGCAGAAGGTCGCAGCACCAACCAACAAGGCCAGCGTGCCCGGACGTGATGTCCATTATGCTTTTCGAAATTCCTGAGATTGCTTGGCGATGGTGTTCTTCATCTTCATCACCATCGAATGTTGTCTTGCAAAACAAGAAACGGTCCCGGAAGTAATCATCTAGCATCTTTGCAACCTGCTGCTGGCCCAGCCTCCATCTTTGCCTGTCAAGTTGCTTGGAGAGAGGGGATGACCAGCCGGAAAGATACGGGCGAAGTGGATCGTGGCAATGCCGAGGACTCGATGGCACGTAAGATTCTCGACGGCTCCTGGCGTCCCCGATGAGGTAGGCAAGTCTTGGCAGGCCGCACAGACAGAAGCTGTGAAGCCGGTACTTTCCAAGTTTGTTCCTCGTCACAGATTCTCGTTTTGCGATCCTTAAACTTGAGAGAAGGTTGCGAACCGCATAGCCAGTCTGGTGATGCATTTGATTGAGTAGCTGCGCTTCGTCCAGTAACCAGATGACAGGCTTGACATCCTTGCGAGCTGTAAACACGTCAATTACTTCGCTAGACTTTTCCGGTGGCTCGAGCTCGCTCTGGTCGCACACCTTTTCAATCAAACGCTTGTAAAAGTCCTCAGCAGCCTCCCACTCTTGCTTAGTCTTGTCGTTAGCCAGAGCGACCATCTTATCGTCCATGGTGGTGAGCTCCACCAAGTAGCCTTTGGCCCGGAGCTCCAACCCGAGCGCCGTCAGCAGCGTCGACTTGCCCGATTGCCATGGCGCCGTGAGCAGCAGCCAATTTCCGCTCTCCATCTCAGCCACAATCGAGTCCCGGTCCGGCCAAGGACAGTAGTAGAAACTGTCCAGGTCCACGATTGCGTCGCCAGAAAAAAAGCTGCGCGGAAGCAGACGCTTGCGGGGGCGCAGATGCCTGTCAAGGTCGACATGGATTCCCTCCCGCTTCTTGTTCAAAGCCTGACGCAGCGTCGTGATACCACTAGTGCTTGCACCAGCGGTAGCAGTGCCAGTGATGATGATGGGAGCCTGCTCCGAGAGCCCATCCCCAAGGCCAGCAGAAGCAGAGACTTGCCTGATTTGGTTCATGTCCATGGCTGAACAAAACAAAGTTAAAAAGAACATCAAGGGTCTATAGCATAAAGCTTACCATTGAAGGATTTCAATAGGAGAAGCTTCTCCTCGCGCAGCTGCCTCTTCTCCTCGCGCAGCTCCCACTTCTCCTCGCGCAGCTGCCTCTTCTCCTCGCGCAGCTGCCTCTTCTCCTCGGGATCATTTGTTTGCTGGAGTTGCCCGTCCACAGCACTAATTTGGCCCTCAAGCACAGCAATCTGCTGCTCAACTTCCCGGATTTGCCCGGACAAGCCAGAAGCCGGATCACCTTCCGCCTCCACGTCCATGGCCAAACCTAGGTTAAAGGTTGAAGGTTGGTTTTTTTAAAGAACCAACCTCCTCATATTGAAAAGATGAAGACCGAACCAGTTGATCCTGAGGAGGAAAAGCAAATTCAAAGATATGAAATATGCAATGGTTAAGCTTGAGTTGGCTTGAGGAGTCTGGAGTGGAGAAATCCAGATTATAGTTTGTGTAAGAACATATGGGGTCATGACTATTCGTTTTGGCCAAAGGCCCGGCTTGTAACATTTTGAAAGACAGTTTTGAATGAAGAGTTTAGATTAGAAAACACCCATTGCGACGAAGCTTGAGATTTCGGCTTAAGAAATGGAAGACAATGCAAGTGACAAAGCGGACTGCTAGAATTTCCACAGGAGGGAAGTGCCTTCCCGGGATTACAGTAGAATGTATCACTCTCCAGGGAGAGTGAGCCCCTATGGTCTTAGATCTAAGGGGAAAGAAGAATCCAAGGAAAGTTATAACCCATCATCTAAAGAGGAGCCATTCACTGTTTGTGGTGCTCATATTGCGAGAAGGGATCATTCCATTTCACTGATCAGACCCAACTTAGTCATGTTTGGTGGAGACTCCAAAAGGCGTTTGCTCAATAACAAATGGATTTCACACAGGGCTTGGCAGATTTTCCATGGTTGGGTATTATGTTGTAACATTTGAAGAGATATGCGGAAGCTAAGATGGACAAGGATGACTCTATCACTCTGATATATCAATCACTGTGTATATACATGATCAACAATCGTGACTATCAACAGTCGTGACTATCCTACACCTGGATCAGTGATGTTGCAACTCATGCCATGTAAACTCTCATGTCATGGAGAGAGTATATCTCCAACACATTATATTTGGGAATTGGAACATTGTTAGAGATGAATTACAATGTATTATCTGGTTGTTGGATTGGCATAATTAGATCGTGGCTGTCTCTTGCAATGCATGTTTGAAATAAGGGTTAAAGAGTTTGCAAGAGGCAGGGCATTATCATACACTAATAATGGTAATAATAATATATAGCAACGTAGCCATACACCTGGACCTCACAAGTCGAACTACATTGGAAAGAATAAAATATAATCAGCAAAAGTATCGTTTTTCACCATACAGTGAAAGTGCTCTAGATCTGGAGTCCCCAACGATCAGCTCATTGCCTGGATTGCTGTCTCGAACAAGCCAGCATGGCTACACACACTGAGGATAATCCCGTCTGGTTTAAGCCTTCCAGAACAAAGCCACCGTCTTCAAGTGAGCATAGCTCAGCAGTTCTTCACGGTACTAACCAGTGCTACCCCCGCTTTGACTTGGCCACGAACGCAATGACTTCGGCTCTATATCTGGAGATAGTCGAGTGAATTGCCTCAGATTCCAGCCTTCAGTTCTGCCACGAAAGTTTACCAGCATTCGTTGAAACAGCTCGTCTGGTTCGTTGTGCTGAGCATAGCCGGCAATCAATGTTGCTTCTGGGGTTTAAAAACCTCGTTTAAAAACTTGACGAGAGATCGTCGTAACGAATATAACCTTTGCAGCTTGGAAATAGATAGACAAAACTCTTTGTGTCTTCTTCACTCCAAACAGGCCTTCAACGCAGAAGCAACCGTTTGAGCATCCGGATCACAGCCTTGGTACTTCACCAGAGTAACCAGCTCCAAGGCATCGTCAGTTGGTGCCGAGTGCATATCAAAGCACACTAATCCCGCCGCTTAAACCTCTCAAGCACACTCCTGGTAGCACCGTACCTTCACAAGCTCATAGTCAGAGAATCGTCCACCGCAACTGCCAGAGGATTCGTCACTTCGATCCGCCACCTGGGCTTCTGAAAGATCGCATTCCCGCACTGTTTCCTTCGAGATAACATCCATCGCACGAGCAAAAAGCACGCGAGCAGCACCAAGATAGCCCAGAGAAGAAGCTGGAGAAGTGACCACGGCGTCCTCCTAGCCACCACCATCACCATGTGGCCACTGCTGTGTCGTGACCGTCGCGACGATGGTGGTGGTGGTGGTGGCGGTGGCGTCCTCCATGATGGTGACCATGGTGATGGTGGTGGACAACCAGACGAGCTCCATGATGGTACACTGTTGCTGCTGGAGCTGGATCGTGGTGGCGAGCATGATCAAGGAGAGCAGGCACTGAATAGCATGGCAAGGTTTTCTCACTGTGTGTGACGAGCATGAACGAAAGCAGCTGGAGCTGGAGCTGGAGCTGGAGCTGGAGCTGGAACTGGAGCGTCACCTTGAAGAACTGGAGCTAAAGCTGGCGGTGGCTCGTGGCCTCGGCCGTTGGAGGCCCATGATCGCGAGAGATCATAGCTTCTTGATGGAGAGAAGCATCCACGACATCTCGAATAGAAAAATCCAAGCGAGAAAGTATAACCTAGGATAATACTACTTTTGCCTTTGTGAAAAAAGAGAACTATACACGAGAGCTGGTTTTTACGCTGTGGATTGCACGGAGCTGCAAGTTGGATCCTCCCCAAAGTCATCGTCGTCGATGGACGCGTCCTGGTACTGCTGGTACTCGGTCACCAGATCGTTGAGATTGCTCTCCGCCTCGGAGAACTCGAGCTCGTCCATCCCCTCGCCGGTGTACCAGTGGAGAAACGCCTTGCGCCGGAACATGAGTGTGAACTGGTCGCTCACTCGCTTGAACATCTCCTGGATCGACGTCGAGTTCCCGATGAACGTCGACGACATCTTGAGTCCCTTGGGCGGGATGTCGCATACGCTCGACTTGACGTTGTTTGGGATCCATTCCACGAAGAAGGACGAGTTCTTGTTCTGGACGTTGACGATCTGTTCTTCCACCTCCTTGGTGCTGATGCGGCCCCGGAACATTGCCGAGGCGGTGAGGTAGCGGCCGTGGCGAGGGTCCGCCGCGCACATCATGTTCTTGGCGTCCCACATCTGCTGCGTCAGCTCCGGGACGTTGAGCGCTCGGTATGGCTGCGAGCCGCGCGAGGTGAGCGGTGCGAAGCCGACCATGAAGAAGTGGAGGCGCGGGAAGGGGATGAGGTTGACGGCGAGCTTGCGGAGGTCGGCGTTGAGCTGGCCGGGGAAGCGGAGGCAGCACGTCACGCCGCTCATCGTTGCTGATATCAAATGGTTGAGATCGCCAACTGCAAGAAAGAGTTGGTGTAAGCCAAAGTTGAACTTGCTACTTCAAACTATTGAAGTCTAGAAAACTGGAAAAGGAGAGAGAGTTTTCGGAGAACTTACAGGTGGGAGTTGTGAGCCGGAGAGTTCTGAAACATATGTCGTAGAGGGCCTCGTTGTCCAGAACCATGCACTCGTCGGCGTTCTCGACGAGCTGGTGCACGGACAGCGTCGCGTTATAAGGCTCCACGACTGTGTCCGAGACCTTGGGCGACGGGAACACGGAGAAGGTGAGCATCATCCTGTCCGGGTACTCCTCTCGGAGCTTCGATATCAGCAGAGTTCCCATCCCTGAGCCCGTTCCCCCGCCGAGAGACTGGCTCACTTGGAATCCTGCATAGAAGAGAAGTAGATTAAGAGACTTGTCGTTCTTGAGAATCGCATCGGTACCTTGCAGGCAATCAGCGCCTTCACACTCCTTGCGCACCACGTCCAGCACGGAGTCGATAAGCTCGGCTCCCTCGGTGTAGTGGCCTTTGGCCCAGTTGTTCCCGGCTCCCGTCTGGCCGAAGACGAAGTTATCAGGCCGGAATATCTGTCCATACGGCCCCGACCGAACGCTGTCCATTGTCCCAGGCTCCAAGTCCATGAGAATCGCTCGAGGCACGTAACGTCCGGCACTGGCTTCGTTGAAGTAGACGTTCACTCGCTCCAGTTGGAGGTCGGACTCTCCGTGATAAAATCCCGTGGGCTCGATCCCATGCTCGTCACATATCACTTCCCAGAACTTGGCGCCAATCTGGTTACCACACTGGCCTCCCTGTACGTGGACAATCTCTCTCATTTCTTCTGTTTGCTTCGATCCAGCTGAAGGACCTGACGACACTGCGGTAGTTCAGCTGTTGGTCTATACCGTTAATGTCGTTGTCACCAGAGAAAAACTACCCCGAGTAACAGTTTTCTCTTATTGCCTTAACTGTTTTATTTGCGTATAACCAACCTGTATGTAACCATGTGAGAAAGTGAGGTGATTTAAATCGAGCGAACCTTTAAAACGATAAGCTGAGAGTAGGCTCCTCGCCTGGCTACGAGCTCCGAGTGCCTTCCCTGCTCCACAATCTCACCGTCATGCAGCACGGCAATCTGGTCGGCACTGCAAATCGTAGATAGCCTGTGTGCCACAACCACTGTCGTTCTCTCCTCCATCAGCCCCTCAAGAGCTTCCTGGACAATTCCCTCGAACTCGGCGTCTAGAGCACTCGTGGCTTCGGCCATAAGACGTTGGTGCGATCCGGTTTCCACAAACCTTCCATTTTGAAGCACAGCAATGGAATCTGTGCCTTTGACAGTACACAACCTGTGTGCTATAATAACTGTCGTTCTTGCCACCATGATTTTGTGAGTGCGTTTTGTACCACATTCTCGGACTCAGCATCTAAAGCACTGGTTGCCTCATCCAACAACAGTATCGCTGGATTTCTGACCAATGCTCTAGCTATGGCTATCCTCTGCTTTTGGCCTCCAGAAAGTTGTACGCCTCTTGAACCAACCTGCAATGTACTTGAGCAGTTCAGACACTGAAAAAATAGTGTCTAGGCACCTGTGTTTCGTAGTCTTGAGGAAGCTGATTTATAAAATCGTGCGCATTTGAAGTCCTGGCAGCCAGCTTTATCTCCTCCATGTTCGCATCATCTTTGCCGTAAAGTACGTTTTGCGCGATGGTGGTAGCGAACAAAGCTGGTTCTTGGTTAACGAGACCAATCTGTGACAGGAGCCATTTTAATTGTAGAGATTTGGTGTTGTAACCATCCAAGAGAATTTCTCCTGTAGAAGTATAAAACTCAGAAAAGAAATATAAGCAAAGAAGCAATTCACCTGAAGTTGGGTCGTAAAACCTTTCAATGAGAGATATAATCGTGCTCTTCCCAGAACCACTGGGGCCAACAATGGCTATCGATTTCCAGGCGGTATCCTGAGGCTCAGGTCGTGAAGAACACGAGCATCTGGCCTGGAGGAATAGTTGGAAGTAACTTTATACAGCTCAAGCACTCCATGGACGTGTTGAAGACGAAATTCCGTTGACTCTTCACAGTTAGTGATCGTATTCTTGTTGTCTAAAGTTTCCAGAATTTTGAACGCAGCGGCTCTTGCATTCGATATAGCAGCAATGGTCGGAGCAGTCTGTCCGAGAGCACTATGAGAAAAACGTTCAGCATCAGAACTCAAAACATAATCAATAACAGTAACTTACAAGGCACCTAAGAGCACGCAAAATATTGTAGATAGAGCTTTTCCACCGTTTGTCGTGCGGTTTCTTACGAGAATGCCACCGTACCACATCAGTAAGGCCCAAGAACACAAGGGCAATGCATACATTGCTCCCATTCCAATCCCTTTGACA